AGAAATGTTGTAGACTCCACAAAGCAATAGATTTTGACTGGGACTGCTGGATTTTATTTTCCCTAATGTGATCATTGTTATATTCAGGCTCTTATGACAAATTCTATTTGGTAAGGTTGAGCTACGAACGTGGATCTGTTTTGAATAGAAAAAAAGTATAGCAGGATTTGTACTTACTCCACCAAGGCTGCCTCCTACCATAGATACACCATGGGTCATAGATACACTGAGAGCAAGGGTCTGAGAATACTGATGAATGGAGGGTGATGAGCAGAGGTTGTCACTGGGGACTGGTTTCTGCCTAGTATCTTATATCTGTCTGTCGACTCCCCAAGATGCTCTTTTAGACTACCAGAAAGCATTCTGGGTTGCATAAGCAGGGACTGTAGTGAGCATGCCTAGAAATATCCATGTTGGCCTCCACCATCACGAGGGTGAATATACATCTGGTTGACACTCTGCAGGATTTTAACCCAATTCTAGACAATAACTGTTGTAAATGTATAAGGCTGATATACCCTTTAGCTCAGAAATATCTGGATCACCTCACCTTGGACAATGAGCTCCATATGGTCACTGGCACCCAACAACAGGTACAGAGATGAGTTGATTTATTCATAGCACCTATAAATGCCCATGAGAGTGTAGGTGATAGAACCATGGAGAATACTAGAATCAATACCCATGATCCAGAGGGAGGGGTCCTGAATGCCCTGTCATGGCCATGTGCTTTACCCTTGCACATGTCACTACAGCTGTGGGACAGACCCACTGCATAATCAGGTGCTAGAGGATTCTTCTTTCAAGAGAGGCCAAGGCCAGAACTGAAAGTAACTTAAGGGTGTGGGCCTCAAACTTCCATTTATAAACAGAGGAGCAGCTTTCTGGAAACAGAAGGATTTGTCTAGTTCTGCATCTCTAGAAGCAACTGTATTAAGCAGATAACTAGCTGCTGTCCATCAGGGCCACACATTCCAATAGGGTATTTACATAGCCTCCTTGGGTCTGACTCCATGCAGCTGAGATGTTTGTTCTCAGATCCTTTAGTGGCAGAATGGGGAAGTGAGTGTCTGGGTTTCCTTTTCTCCATGTCATCCACCTAGCCCATCCTCCAGGCTGAGCCTGAAAATCTCTGGATGCCATCTTCTGTAGCACAAACTAATCCCTGGGTTTCTGAACTCTCTGTTGGGATCTCTGTTAACTTCCACATGCATAAGCTGAAGTGAGAACTTTTTCAGGCTAAGAGCCATGAGCTCCATGAGTATGCAGCATACTCCCTTCACTGA